CAGGACCCTGGGATCATGACCTGAGCCGAAGGCAGTCGCTTAACCAACTGAGCCACCCAGGCGCCCAATTTAACAATTGTTATTAACATGGAAGTTTCTAAAGACAATGCAGTAGGCACAGAACTGTATGTGGTAGGTTATGTTTTGGGCAGTGGGATTAGAAAGAAAGTGGTGGGGGAAGCTTTTAACATCAAGTATTTCAATAGTGCCTATTCTGCTTTGTTTTATAAGTATGTAATGCTTTTTATCTTATTTTTTAATTTATTTTTATTTATTTATTTTTGTTTTTAAGTAGGTTCCACACCCAGCGTGGACCCCAACCCGGGGCTTAAAAATCACGACCCTGAGAGATCAAGACCTGAGCTAGATCAACAGTCGGAAGCTCAACCGACTGCGCCACCCTGGTGCCCCTGTAGTACTTTTCAAATTAAACAACAAAGAATGAAGCTCAAAAATAAGGCAGCTCAATTCACAGAAAACAGGGCATTGGATGGTAATAGCACCGGGTAAAGAAGGTTCAAGGCAAAAACGAAGGACGCACCATGATGCGGTAGGTCCCAGAGAACAAGGGCAGCAACCAGAACCTCCAAACAGACCGAGGTGACTCCAGGCTGCCAGGCCTCTAACACCATTGATGTCCTGCTCTCACTCCTCACTAGCCTCAAAGCTCTTGTGAGTCGCTCAGCCACGGGGCTCTCGCAACCTGAAAGACTTGAAGCAACAATCTAGAGAGCAGCTCACAGCAGGAGCCGTGCCAGGTCCTCCGCCAGCAGCTGCTGAGATACAAGGAACAGCACCAGAGAGGGAGACATCAGGACATTCCTGGTTACCCCAAGCCCTTCTCTATGAGCCCACACAGAGTCCACGGGTTCTCTTGTGGTGGTTTCCCAAAGTGCAATCCTGAAAGGATGACAAAATCCTCCTGGGCTCCCCCAGCAAATCCCTTCCTTAGCACCAAGGCACTGGGCAAAAACCTTAAATCTCTCTTCAGACAAAGCTTGTAAGACACAGGAGGTACTTGTGTCCATAAATCCGCCCAGAGTACAGCACTTTTATTAAAAATATAACACACAAAAAAAATACTTATGTTCTACATGTAATACATAGATGTGTGTATGCATTTACATGCATTTGCCTATATGCATATGCAAATATATAACACATATTCATATCTGTGTGTATATATTTGCAAAAATAATACCATTTAAAAAAATCAACCCATAAAGGAATGCATGGAAAAATATAATGATATAACTTTTCTCTCTTAAATAACATCTTCATCTTTTAAAAATCCTAAAATTAAATAACCAAACAATAAATCAGTAGATTAAAAAGTACTGTTTGTCGAGATCAACCACATTTAAAAGTTATCTACCTGAAAGTCATCATAAGGGAAGAGCAGCATCTCCCTTAAACAATCGTTCAGGATCTGTGTCTTCTTCTGGACGATGACATTTTCATAGTCGAGTGGTTCGATCAGCTTTGGCTTTGCCTAAAGGGTGAAAAAATAAGCAACTGAAACATTCTTATAGATAAATGCAATTCCTTGAGATTAAAGAACTTTACACTATCTGCTTTTGCATTTTCCAACTTTTCTGCAACGGAAGTATGTTAATTTTGCTATAAGGAAGAATCAGAAACAAGAGATAAAAGTTATTTTCAAAAGAACAGAAGACACTTCCTGGTATTCTGTCTATCTGTAGTCCTGCTTATTTAGTTATTAAAGCACAAAGAAGGCTATGAAGTCTGATGGAACGTCCAGTCGTGTCCTGGGTCACCCCTGGCTAGGTCAGTCCCCATTCAAGCCTTAGGATCTGCCAGAACTGCCCTGCTTAGGGGTCCAGCCGTGGTCTGGTAGTGAGGGATGGATGTCAACAGCGGCAGCCTTCTTGGCCCAGGCTTAAAGCATCCACAGGGCTCACTATTTCATATAAGACTCTACAGAACTCTTCTCAGAGTATCAAAATGCCCCTGTCTCCTAAAATGTCTATATACTTATTATATAATACCTAAACATACAAAAATGTGAGCTCTGGGGGTGGGAGGATGGTATCACTTAAACCAGGGCTTGTGAGTGAACCTCAGCAGATAGGGATGACCATCAGACCACCAGAAGAAAGAGGCAATAAGCAAGTGGGAAAAGGAATGAGGGAATATGCCTTTTTTGAATATTTCCAAAGTTAGCCTTCGCAGTAAAAATCTCTCCTATCTATTGCCAGGCATTGCCATGGTGTTTGCTGATCACTTTCCACATGGAAGGCACTAACTGGGCTAGGTCAGGGAGAAAGACACCTATTCAACTATATCCCAGCATGCCAAGTGATAAAACAGGCATGCGCACGTGCACACACACACACACACACAATGTTCTCAGAAGCAACTAAGTCCATATATCAATAATTCCTACAAGATTATTTTTTGAAACTATTAATAAAAATCATGATTACATAATCTCAACATGTTATGTCTATTAAAATGACAATAAATATGTATGAAATATATTAAAGACATCTGGTACGTGGCATCACATTGGGAATTGTGGGTGAGGCTGCTACATGTTCCCCAAATCTCTCCTTTCCTTCTAGGTACAGCAGGACTACATTCCCCAGCCTCCCCAGGGTTAGATGTGGCCCTGTGTCTTGTGGCCAAGGGCAGGTGAGAGGAAGGAGTGTGGCCACTGCCAAGCCTGGACTGTAAAAGCTCTCTGCTAGAGGCTGAATGTTTCATCCTTCCAAAATTCGCACGTTGAAACCTAATCCCCAATGTGATGGTTTTAGGAAGCGGGCCTTTGGGAGGCAATTAAGTCATGAAGGTAGAGGCCTTATGAATTGATTAGTAATCTTATTAAAGAGACCCCCGAGAACTCCCTTCTGCCATGTGAAGAAACAGTGAGGAGAAAGCCATCTATGAACCAAGAAGTGGGCTCTCTCCAGAAACCAAGTTGGCTAGTGCCTTGATCTTAGACTTCTCAGCCTCTAGAACTGTGAGAAATAAATGTTATTTAAGCCTCCCCCCGCCCTTATATTCTGTTCCAGCTGCCCTAAGTGACTGAGACAGCCTCCCTCCCTTCTCCCCACTGCCAGCAACATGCACAGGATCCAGCACTAGACTCCGGAGGCTTGAGGAGAGGATAAAGCCCCAAGATAGGAGGCATCGAGATCCTGAACCTACCCAACAGAAGGCTGCCTCCTGAAAATAGGTGCTGAAATATCCGTGAGCAGGAACAAAAGCATCTACTGTGTTAACCACGGAGATTCTGGAGTTGTTTAAAGGGGTCATCAGTTTACTCTACCTAACATAAATACAAACGCCCATATTTAACTTCAATTACTTGATTTAAAAGTAGACTCTACAAAGATGTCTGGACATGCTAAGAAAAAAAATGCAATGACCAAACAAGGGCACCATTATTATAATTAAGCAAAATATACATTTATGGGCAGAGATAAAAATATACCCAAAAAATTAAAGCTATCATAATGGGAGTGTAATTTCTTCCTACAATATACTCAGAATGTTAAATTGTTTCTACATTCCAAAAAACGGTTCAAAAGTGAGAGAGATTTACACAAAGTATTTTTAAGGAAAGAATTGCCATAGAAAATTATAAAAATATTCTCCAAAATATTTTAATTCGACTTGAATAATGTGTTCCTTTATTTTAGTTTGTCACACTGTACATAGTGCTTTAAGCGCTTGTTGGCAGAATGGATAGATGTCATGATTAGTTAGGTCTTCCTTGGGAACAAGGACTATATTCCTAATAAAACCCGAAGATGCGCATAGCTTTATACAATGACAGAGTTGTGGATTCTGACAGCTGCACTTCTATTACAAAGAGGTCAGACAGAGAGATCCTGCAGGATGGGACATTCTCCCCTGCTCCATACGGTGCCCAGCACATGAAGGCGACCAGGTAAGCTCCGAGGGGGTGGCCTGGTCCTCCACACCAGCCCTGGGCCCCTCCAAAGGTACCACTGGCTGTGTTCCCTTCCTACCCCTTCCAGCAAGGGTCAGCAGTGCAGTCCCTTCGGGTCAGAAGGCAAGGGCAGTCTGCTTGTCCGAAAACTGTGCTACAATGTCAGCCCTTGTCAGAGAGGGTGCTGGAGGGACCTGCTGGTAAAGGCTCTTGTCTTAGCCTAGGATGTTTTGGAGTTTTCTGCCTTGCTCCTATGGCACAGCTCCCTCAGTATTCTTAGAGCAGGGGTTGGCAAACGTTTTCTGAAAAGAGCCAGAGAGTAAATACTTTAGGCTTTTGCCAGCTTTACTGTTTACTAAACTCGGACACTGTAGCACAAAAGTGGCCACTGACAATAAATAAACAAATGGGCAGAGTGGTGTTAAAACTTTACAGAAACGCAACAGCCAGATTTGCCCAAGAGTCATTGGCCGATTTACGCTGTAGAGTTACCTTTGCCCCTTAGTAGTTAATCCCCTTTTACCAGTTTAATAATTCTTTACATTAATTTTCTATTTCCAATTAATTGATGTGTTTCCTGTCGCTGGGCTGATACACACAACATGTTTACACGTTCTTAAATGTATTTCATGATTATTTCTCACCAATTTGACTAAACCTAGATTGTTTAAAAGGTTTAATAAATGAAAACTCTAAAAACACTCACAGAAAGGGTGAGAATGGAGATTGGTGAGGGAACAGGAAAAGAGACAAGAAGGAGGTGGGGGAGGAAGAGACAAAAGGGACTGACACCCAGGGGTGAGGCAGGCAGGAGCAACAGAAGTGAAGGAAACACAAGGTGGAAGATAAAGACAGAAGAAGCAGCTACAGGGCGCCTGGGTGGCTCACATGGTTAAGGTCTGCCTTCCGCTCAGGTCATGATCCCAGGGTCCTGGGATCGAGTCCTGCATCGGGCTCCCTGCTCCTTGGGAGTCTGCTTCTCCCTCTGCCTCTCTCTCTCTCTCTCTCTCTCTCGTAAATAAATAAATAAATCTTAAAAAAAAAAAAAGGGCATCAACTACAAACAGAAAGGACAGTGGGCCCGTGGGAAGTCACACCTCTGGGTCTACTCAACTGGGGGTTAAGGGCATAACTGCCTATTTTCTACTCTTCTTTGAAAGGATGATTCACTGGTTACAGCTGTTCACTGTTCTTCAGCTTAACTAAGCGTTTCCAAGTGGTCACGTCAGCAGGGGGACAGCCCACTAGGGTAGGGAACTGACCAGCCTACAGTGGTGACAGGAACGTCACACTAACAGCAAAATGAAATTAGTGAATTACCAGAGTGCCAGTACCCCACCCCTTTAGTAGAAAGAGGCTTAGCGTAGATCTGGCACATGGCCTTGGTTTTAAAGCCATCAACACACTTAAGTTTAATCCTTCCTGGGGTGACACAGCTAAAAGAGCCAAGTTCTTGATTTTCTATGGTCAAAAGCAAAATTTTGGGCCCAGAATTACCCAAATCAACCAATGGTCATGGATGGAGCTGCTCCTAGGCCATCGGAACCACCATGTTTTGAAAACCTGAGAATTCACTGGTTTGTATTTTAAATATTCAAAGATGTTGTGTTTCCCTAAGCATCACGGGGACTCGGTCAGCTCCTGAGTCTGTAACATTCAGAACTTGCACAGGGCCTGATTATGCTGCTTTTATAGTAAGTGAAAACTGTAACTCAACCTATAGATACAACTTCTTTAGCTTTTGTCCTCATTTGGAGGTTAAATGTCCTTATTTACGAACATTTGTTTCTCAGGTTATTGTGAAATCTGACAGGGAGAGGATCATGGTACTTTCGGTTTATAAAAGTCTACAAGAATGGTTCTCAAAGTGGGGTCCTGGTAACAGGCAGCAGCATCACCGGAGAAGCTGATAAAAAAGTAAACTGAATCAGAAACTCTACAGGTAGGACCAGGGATCTGCGCTTGCACAAGCTCCCCCAGGGATTTCGATGTCCCAGGAACTGGGCTGGAATTTGTAAATTAGAGAGGGACAAGGAACATGCCCAGTGCTGAGCTTCTTAACCTCTCTGGGGTTACAGACCCCTCTAAGAACCTGGGCCCACTCTCCCCAAAAATGTGTATACATATTCCTTTCTAAAATTTTATACACAGTTCTGGAGGAGGGCTGTCACTCCTTGGAGACTAGCCATGGAACTGAGCTGAGGACATTCTGGACAGTGGAAGAGGATGGCTCGGAAACATTTAATTCAATATGGCGAAAGGTGCTGGTGGAAGTTAAATGCAGAGCTAAGGGAGGAGGCTGAGCCAAGTGCCACCCATGGGCTGGGACATTTCCTCACCTCACCACAGAAATGATGCCTCAAGGTGCTGAAGGAAGAGTGGGAACTCTTCAAGTGCGCAAAGTTCTGAACTCCCTAACCAACATGCAGCCCTCCTATGGAGGCAGCTGTGTCTCTAACCCCAGGACCAGGACAGAAGCAATGTGGCTCCGCTTCTGACACAAGCCTGCTCCTGTCACTTGCTCACACCTCTGCACCTGTCACAAGCCTACAGCCCTGCAGGCTGCTGACAAA